TCAGAATATTTCCATCATAAATTCCCAGACTTGGGGAACTCAGTTTTGTTTAGCCTTTGATCTCCTCTCTTGCTGCCTGGCATTCTAGAGGGGGGAGGAGCACACTGCAGGGACTCGCATGGACTGTGTCTATGATGGCAGGGCCACTGTGTAAATATAAGCAAGCAGTCCTGGGTGGAGAAGACCCAGGCTAGAGCCCCTCTGGGCCAATGTGTACCCTTCTTGGACACTGAGGGATCCTCATCATGGTCTCCCCAGCTTCCTTGGTCATGGGTCAAGTGCTATGTGGGGTGAAGTATCTGTACATGGGGCAGCTCCTGTGGCAGCCTTCACACAGTGGTCAGATAAGAGTGGAGAAGCCAAGCTCCAATGCCCAAGAGCCAAGCAGGGCTTTCTGGCTGCCCTCACACCACTTCCGAGAATCAGAAGTGGGTCTATGACACTAAGTTGTCTAAGACAAAGGCTGAAAAAGGGCCTCAGTGGCTGCAGGTGAGAATCAGGCTGATTCTTCCCCTAGGTCTCACCTACCACTTTTTTTTTTGTAGTTATAGATGGACAGAATGCTTTATTTTATTTATTATTTTTTTATGTGGTGCTAAGGATCAAACCTAGCCTTTTATACATGCTAGGCAAGCGCTCTGCCACTGAGCTACGGCCCTAGCCCTCACCTGCCACTCTTGAGAAGTTCTCCAGGCAGGCCCCACTGCCCTCCCAGGCATGAAGGATAGCAGAAACAAAGGCCATCCAGGCTGCAGACCCCACAGATGCAACAAGGTCCCTCTGTTACATGCTGGCTCTTCCCACTACAGCAGGACTCCTTGGCCGAGATGGACTTACCAGAGTCTTCATCATTTTTCTAAAAAAGGGGCAAAGAACCATCCAGAGGGACCTGGGATGTTGAAAGGCACACAACAATCTCAGGTCTGGGTTTTCCCAAGACTGAACTCCAGAAGCATTCTTTCCCTTCTTTAACACCCAAAGTTCAACTAGAGCTTAGACATGTCTACAGTGTGAAGGCATCTGCTGCGATGCCCATCCTGGTCCCTCTCCCCAGACAGCTGTGAATTCAGGCCACAACTGGTTAACTTGACGGGCAAATTCGAGCCCGCAGCAGCCTGTGCACAGGCTGACTGTCTTCACTCAGCGCTGTAATCGGCACATCTGCAGACAGGAAATCCTCCTCGCTGAAGTTCCCAGTCTATTATCTGAGACACCTGGTGTGGGCGGGTGATTCAGAGACAAACAATGAGGAGGCCCCCTGCACAGCAATTAACTGCTTTAACTGCTAATGTGTTTAATCCACCACGTGGAGATCAAGGCTGTGCCGAGGAAGAGGCTGAGTCCTCTTCGGCTTCCAGACTTGTAGCACCCACTTCGTGATGCCAACATTCATTGTCCTCAAGGGCTGCAGGACACAAGCCACTGGGCAGGTCCACAGCAGCATTTGGGCCCCTTTTAAATGTGTTCTTGGAGGCAAAAAGGGCATCCTTCCCTTTTCTGTTTTTTAAACACCCACCAAAGCCCAGCTTATTTGGACACAATACTTACTGCTCAGGACTAGAAGCACCATCCAAGGAGATGCTAGTGGTGCCAGATATGCAGCCCCTCAAGGCATTTTACTTTAACCTTCTGGAACGGATCATCCTTTATTACAAGTAGAAATAATTCTTGTTTAAAGGCTTATCAGTGCAAACCAGAGAAAAGATTACCAGTTGTTAAACTGGGAAGTGGCTCCTGAATGTTTACAAAACCTGGCTCAGAGGGAGCAGCAAAGTCAGCACATGCCTGTACCACCCCCCTCCTCCCCAGAAGGCGTGCCAGAAACTGCTGCCGCCACTGCCACAGCCCTGGGGAAGCAAGGTCAAAGGCCAAGGACTGTGAAAAGCTTCCATCCCCAGCATCAATCACACCAGGCAGACTGTCTGGGGGATGCTCTTTTTGAAAATACAAAAAATAGAATAGTGGGGGAGGGTTGTGTATGTATCATGGCAACTCTGCCTGGCAGGGGCCTTACTTTTTTCCTGCCAGGGACCTCCTTGAAGTTGGGAGGACCGGGGATTTTCYAAAGGCAAGGTCCTTGGCTCTCTAGAGCCACTGCCATCCAACAGCATCTGGCTGCATGGCCCACCCCTCCATTCAAAGGTGAGATAAGGGTTCTGTGTGCCAATGGTGGGAGTACAGAAGACAAAGGGGAAGGTTGGGGACTGAGTAGGAAACAAGAAACTGGCTATCTCACTGATTAGAATGTAGTTTAACACTTTTGGCTCCAAAAGGTACACCTAATCTTCGTGGTGGCCATTATACTGAATTTACTTAAATTTTACTTCTACAATTTGACCAAAACCATATCCTTTGGTAGCTGGTCAACTTTGGGTCAAGAAGTGCTGAATTCATTCCAGGGCATTTCAGATCCCTCCTTATCCAATCTGCTCTAGTGTTCACTATATATAAGTGGAAGGTCTGACTCCTTCATTTTTTTTGTTGTTGTTGTTTAGATTTCCATGTATTCTAAACAATTCAGGAGAAACATTTTTTTTTTTCCAGAAGCAGCCTGGCTCCTTTGGGACCCCCATCTTAGCGGATGCTGGGACCCTGGTTAAATAAATCAGCCTTAACAAGCACTGATGGAACAGCCTCTTGGGCTACTTGGTAAACACGAGTTTCATGAGGCTTCTGAGAGTGACCTGAGTTCTAAGCCCTCTGGCTTACATCAGGGGGACACAGACAAGGCTCAGCAGTGACTCCAGAGAACCAGAAATAACGGGAGAAAGCAACAACCTGACAATTCTGTCAATGTACAAGTTGACAGGACAGTTAGGAAAACCAGAAGCCAAACTAAAAGATGCTCATATTGAGGTGGGCAGGGATGTCCTCATAGAGAAAACAGCATGCATCCTATGACTCTGACCAACAAGAATCTGCAGCCCTGACCAGGTACAGTGGCACACACCTATAATCTAGTTACACAGGAGGCTAAGGCAGGAGGATTGCAAGTTTGAGGCCAGTCTGAGTAATTTAGCAAGCCCATGACTCAAAATAAAAAGGGCTTAGTGGTAAAGTATCCCTGGGCTCAATTTCCATTTAGAGGGTAAGGTGGGGGGACAGCCTGCAGTCCTCCTCCAGGGAGCCCATTCACAGTAGCTGTGGTACCCTAATCCCAGCATGAATATGACTCAAATGGCATCTGAGCTTTCTGCTCCTCCCACTAGGTTCTGGGCAGTCCCTCCACAGTCACCCTCACCCAGGCTCTGGGCAGGAATCTCCTCTGGCTGCATCCATACTCTTCACCCTTTTCCCCAGGTGCACAGCCAGGGAGGCTATGTGTTTAGCAAGGTCAGCAATGAGCTACTTATACACAGTCACATCTGTTCCACCTTCATCCTCATGAAAAACTAGATCCATCACTCACAGGGAGTAGGTGGCCAGGCCACGCCTGCTGGAAAGACCTCCCCAGCCATGCCTCTGCCCAGTCACTGGATGCTGCCTTTGGAAACCTGCACACCAAGACTTCTGGAAAGTCCAGTGAGATCCTGATCCTAGCATGTGATGATTTATAGGACCCAAAGCTACCCAATGGAAGCATAAGAAGACATGAAAAGCCCAGTTAGAGCTGGAAAAAAAAATCTGTTGTTTTTTTTTTTTTCAGTACTGGGGGTCAAACCCAGGGCCTCCCACATACTAGATAAATGTTCTGCCTAGCTACATTTGCAGCCCCTGTATCATTGTTATATGTTATAAACAACTATAAACAAAAGTAGACAGCCATGTTCATAGCAACACTATTCATAATAATCCAAAGGTGGAAGCAACCCAAGTGTCTCTCRGGAAACGAATGGATAAACAAAATTGTTCAATCTTAAAAAAGAAGGAAAAGCCAGGCGCAGTGACAAACACCTGTAATCCCAGTGACTCAGGAGGCTGAGGCAGGAGGATTGTGAGTCCAAAGCCAGCCTCAGCAAAAAGCAAGGTGCTAAGCAACTCAGTGAGACCCTGTCTCTAAATAAAATACAAAATAGGGCTGGGGATGTGGCTTAGTGGTAGGGTGCCCCGAGTTCAATTCCTGGTACCCTCTCCCCAACAAAGGGAATTCTGTCACATGCTACAACATGGATAAACCTTGAAGACATTATGCTAAGTTAAACAGGCCAGGCACAAAAAGATACATGCTGTATGTTCCCGCTTATGTGAGAAACCTAGAATCATCAAATTCATAGAAACAGAAAGGAGAATGGTGGTTGCCAAGGGACTGGAGGGAGGGAAGAATGAGGAATTATTGTTTAATGAGGATGGAGTTCCAGTTTTAAGATAATGAAAAAGTTCTGGATACGGATGGTAGTGATGGTTGCACAACAATGTGAATGTATTCAATGTTGTTATATCAGACATTTAATGGTTAAAGCTGTGAATAAGGTTGGGCATATAGCTGAAGGGTGAAGTGCTTACCTAGCAGTGCTTGCCTAGATTGAATCATCATCACCACACACATAAAGAAAGGTAAATTTTAAGTTATCATATTATAGTTTGAAACTAAAATAAAAACCATCTATTTTGTGAAAAGGAAAAAAACATAGCAAGGCTTAAATCTCATAGGAAGTATATAGGATTTATATGCTGAAACTTTAATGAACATTCTATCAGAGGACATGGAAGCTGGAGGACTCATTATCTTTACTAAATGATTATAATTGGCTGAGAACAGCTGGGTCTCTTTTTTGATTTGTGTTTCTAGAACATGACAGGGTAGAAGAAAAAAGACAGAGGCACATTGTGCCCGGGATGGCCAGAAATGGATAATGTATCTACAGGCTTTTATAATGAATGGCCCATGAAGGGCACCAGGCAGCAGCCAACCTTCCTTGGAACCAACAGAATGGTTCCAACATTGGAAAACAAAGGGATAGAATGGTAAAGATTTCTGTTCCAAAGGACAAGTTTCTGTTAGTTTCCATGGACCTCAGGGCAACCAGAGACAGCATGTGTGTGGCTCAACATCCCCTTACCTATGGCCCACAGGACAGTGTCAAAGATGCCTGTGTCCTTCTTGCCAGAGGTGCGGTCCTCCCAGGTAACCTGGAGTTGGCCATCTGGAAGCCTCTTGATGCAGGTGGGGATGCAACCCTTCAGGAATTGGGTGCCATGAGACTCCATGTGCTCCATGACCAAAGAAGACATTTGCTATGAAGCATAAAAAGACATTCCATGAAGACTAGGTGGCAGCGAGATGCAGACCCCAAAAGGGTTCAGCAAGGAAGGACCAAGGAGTTGAAGGTCTCTGAGGTGGGGATAGTGCTTCTGTGATATATGCCCACCACTTACTAATGGGGCATATGAAAAGAGTGACCCAAACTGATGGTCCYGGAAGCTGGACTTGGTGTGCCCACAAATGTCCCCTCAGCCTGGTAAGAAGAATGTATGTGCAGCTGTGTGTACACTCCATGCACCAAATCCTTCCTTCTATGTTCTAGCACATGCATTTTTATATTTTCTGGAACAATTCCCTTGTTTAATTCAAGGACCTGTTTCTAAAGATACAGACTTTATTCCAAGTCCACAACTGTACTTGCCTAGGGGCAGGGAGCAGAAGGGAATTCAGGCCCCCTGGGAGAGCACAATGGTAAGGCAGGAGCCAGAGCTACTTGTACTACCTGGTCAAAGCCCCGAAGGGGGATACTGCGCATCATGACAGTGGTGTCCAGTCCAATCCCAGTGAGGAAGCCAGCACACTCCAGTGCCACATCTGTGAGTACCAGGCTAAGAAATACTAAGAAATCATGACTCCAGAAAAAAGGAGGCAAGACTCCAGGCTCCTGCTCAAGCATCCCACACCCCCACACATCCATTGCCAGCCCCAGTCTCAAGTGCATGGACTAGGGGGTAAGGGCTTTGCCAGCTGGAACTTTAAGCCCTTCCAATAGCACCCAAAGACTAAGTTGGCCTGTGCCTCTACAAGTTATCTGTCTTGGCTTTGGAGTTTAATCTCAGCCTCTAGGGATGGGCCTGCATCTGGGGGTGGGGTGGGGGGTGTCTATAGAGGTGGAGAGCTGCTGGCCAAGCATAGGGAAGAAGAATATCATGGGTGGAAGATACAAAGCTGCTATCTTTGACCTGTATTTTCAGCTATAAAGTTCCAAAGCGATCATCTGACCCTGGGCTCCCTCTGGGGTTCCTGTCTTGACCCTCTCTGGTTTGACTGCTCCTTCTGAAGGAATGAGGCCAGAGCAGGGCTATTCTCAAGGGAGGAATGCTTGGCTGCCTCACAGCCGTGTCCAGATGCCCCAGCTGGCTTAACTGGCTCAGTGTGTGGCTCAGGAAGTCTCCAGGAAGCCCTATCCCCAGAAGGTAAACTTCAAATTGTCCTTCTCTGAGGGCACAGACCTTACCCCTGAGAGGCTCAGTAAGCATCTAGTCTGAGGCAGCAAAATGACCACTGGGAAGAAAAGCCATCAGGAGGATTCAGGAGAATAAAAGTCCATGTCCCAAAGACAACCACTGCATACTAGCAAAGGATACAGCTGGCCCCAACCACCAACCTGTTAGAGAAATGGACAGAGAGAAAAAGCATGTGAGAACCTGTGTGGCCCACATGGGCACACAAGCAGTCATCCCAAGGGTGGGACAGAAGAGCCCTTTAGCCTTCATGCCAGGCACTCAGCTAATGAATGCTGAGGCTGACTATTCAAATAGCCCATACTGAGGTACAAAGCCCACTTCCCAGAGGCTATGGCTGTGAAATACAATACAACAAACAGTGTTATTGAACCAGCAAATTGCCTGGTGGTGAAGGGTATGTGGTCAGTGACAAACAGCACCTGTCCTATGAAAGGCACCAGCATTCTGTGGATGTGCTGAGAAACATCCCTCAGGAGAAGCACAGAGTTTTTCTTCTGCCCTAAAATGAGTTCTGTCTTGAGGCCTCTGGAGCCTCCTGGGGCCAGGGTGGAAGCAGGGACATGCTTTGCAGGCAGTAAGGGGACCAGACTGTGGGGAGTTCTTGGGGAAGCATATTCTGTGAACTGAATACTCTTAGACCRCAGAAGGCAAGGCTGGAAAGCCTATGTCTGCCCGCCAGCCTACTATACCTGGGCCCAAAGCCAGGAGAGTCAGTTTTCCAGAGCCAAAGACAAAGGGTACCCAGGTTGCTGGGAGGAAGGACAGGATGCTGAGACTCACTGGAAATGTTTGCTCTAGTAGTTTAGATCCTCTCCTGTGGTCCACTTCATATTCCATAGGTATGTGCACACACACATACTCACATACACACGCACACATACATACTGACACACAGGTGCACACAATCTCATGCAATTCACATGCACACATACCTAACTTGCACACATGTGGACATGCACCCATGTGATAATTGGCATGTGCACATATGCATCACATAACACCCTTGTAAACATGCTTATATATGTGTACTTACTTACATGCACACATGTGTACAAAATCACATAGACATATGCATGCACATACTCAGGAGCAGGCTCAGAACCCAACAGAGAATGAGAATTCCCAGCCAGGGTGGCTACGCATGGGTGGGCTCGACAGATCACCTCTTCAGTCTTTGAACAAGAGGAGATGATGTAAGGATGGATAAGCCTAATGTCAGCATTAATCCTGGCAGGTACTAATGATATAATTCCATTTCAAAAAGCATGTATCCCTTGGAATACTTCTATAGGTGCCCTGCGGGAAGCATCTGGCATGCAGCTTCTTCATAGGAGCTGGGAACAGAACCACACTGACTGGCTGAGTACAAGGTGGTCCTGGCTTGTTACACATTCACACTTAGAATATAAGGAAGGTAAGAGAAGACCCTGGAATTTTCAGCAGATCAGGAGAGCAGAAATGCATTCCAGGCCCCACACAGGGTCAGCAATGCCTAAGCAATAGACACAGGGGCACAAATGTATATCCATATGAGTGTAGACTCACCCATAGGTGTAATACACATAACCAAAGTTACAAAACCTAACTCTTTTTGGATTTGACGTATATAGTGAAAGGTTACAAGCTGGGTTTTTTTTCCCCATTTTTTTTTTTTTTACTGATACATTGTAGTTGTACATAGTGGTGAGATTTGTTGTTAAATATTCATACATGCACACAATATAGCAATATAATCTGGCCAATTCAATTCCCCAGTATTTCCCTGTTCCCTCCCTTACTTCCCCCCTCTGGTCTCTTTCCTCTGCTCTACTGATATCCATTTTTATGGGGCAGGAACTGGGGATTGAACTCAGGGGTACTTGGCCACAACCCCGGCCCTATTTTGTAWTTWATTTACAGACAGAGTCTGAGTTGCTTAGCACCTTGCTTTTGCTGGTTGCCTTTGAACTCTCGATCCTCCTGCCTCAGCCTCCTAAGCTGCTGGGATTACACGTGTATGCCACTGTGCCTAGCTACTGATCTCCTTTTGATTTTCATGAGTTCCCACCTTAACCTTTCTTTTCCTTTTTCCTCTCCAGCTTCTCATATGAGAGAAAATATGTGACCCTTGACTTTCTGAGTTTAGTGGTATGAGCCTTTCTTTAAGATATGAAATTATGCATTACTTAAACTACAAACAAATCCAGTTACCATGGATATATTGGCATAAACCCATGAATGAAGTTGGGAAAGTGCAACAGTGCTCAACATGCAGTGTTCTTTGTTCCCTGCTTCTAGCAGTGCCCATGCAATGGGACTCCTGCATTTTGCCAAGCCATGCAGCACTAGAGAAACAAAACAAGTGTGGCCCCTATATTGGCCCCTATAGTGTCTTACTAACACTCCTTGGGGAGTGGGCCAGCTGCAATCTACAGTCTGCAGGACAATGGGTTGGGCCAATCTCTGGGCCCTCCTAGCACACTGTTGAGCACAAAACAATGTGGTCTCCTGATTCTAGCAAAAATTTTTTCTGTTTCTGTAGTCCATATGTGTTTCCTAGACCTTCTGCACAGGAAGCTAAATGGAGGAGACAGGTGGATGGGGAAACTGAATCCCCAGATCCTCCCTTGGAGTCCTCTCAGCACCCTGGGCCACCTACCTGCTCCAACAGCCAAAAGCAGTGGGGAGAAGTTACTACTTCATGAGTGCCCTCAGCCCTCAGGCTGCATCTCTAAATTTCCAACTGAAGGCAAATATAGGGGGAAGACAGATGTCAGTCAGATATACTCCTAAATGAGACTTCATGACCATACTTACGTGGCTGAAATCTCGCAATAAAAGCTTACTTCCTGCTTAAATGGAGAGAAACTTTGGGCCTCATGTCTTATGAGTAATGATTTGTTAGTATTGGTTTTTATTCCCCCAATGGATCAAATAATGAGAATGTTTATTCTTTGAAGAATGCAGAACATGAGAACTCAGAGAATTCCCTTCACACCAACTAAAGTAAGAAAATTCTGGGGCAAAAGTGGATATAGACAAAGAATTCTTCAGATCATGAGGAATAGAAAGTTCCACAAGAAGACTAACTATGAATCAATTTCCACTGGCCACTGGAAAGGACTGGAGGACAGATGAAGACCAGGGGGGCCAAGACTACTACAGAAGTGGAGTTACCAGTCCAGGCCATGGCTACCCATGGTATGGTAGTGCTGGTAGAAGTCAAGGAACCAGATCAACAGACCTGAAGGCAGGAAGCTGGACACCAGGGACTTATCACTTTATTAAAAAGACCCTAGGGGGCTGGGGTTGTAGCTCACTGGTAGAGCACTTGCCTAGCATGTGTAAGGCACTGCGTTTGATTCTCAGCACCACATATAAATTAATAAAATAAAAGGTTCACTGATAACTAAAAAAATTAAAAAAAAAAAAAAGATCCTGGGGTATAGCTCAGTGGCAGAGCATGCACAAGGCCCTTGTTTCGACTCCCAGTACCACACAAACATGCCAAAAAAAAGGGGGGGGCTGGGATTGTGGCTCAGTGGTAGAGCGCTCACCTAGCATGGGCAGGACCTGGGTTTGATTCTCAGCACCACATAAAAATAAAGACATTGTGTCCATATACACCTAAAAAAATAAATATTAAAAACAACAAAAAAAACAAACTTAAAACCAGAGTGTTTGCCCACCCACACCAGAAGTTACCATCCTATACCCTGTGAACCTAGAATCCAATTTTCCATGCGTTTCAGGAGGCTCCATTCTCTGACTTCCGGTGCACCAGCGTTTTCCACAGAGAAATAACTGCTATGAGATTAGCTTAATCACAGGATAGGCTTTCTCATTCAAAATCAAAATGGTAGAGGAAGCAAAAATAAAAGCATTAACACAGACCCACAAAAGCCCAGTTTTACAGAGCCCTCCATATGCCTCTTGAGCTTGAAGGTCCCTGATCCAMTCTCTGGGAGGCACACTCATATAAGTGACAATCTTACAGGAGTACCTGGGCCCTTGGCAGTCCTTCCAGCACAGGAAATGCCAGTCAGGCTGCAGAGTTCTGGATGCCCCAGAGAGGCAGCACCAGGGAGAGGCACTCCCAAAGCTTCTACCCCAGCGGAGTCTGGCTCTGGGCTTGCCTGGGATCTGGTAGCCCCATCCAATCCCTTAGGAACCAACATTGGGCCTGCCAGAGCCTCTATGCAGGCCAACTGCTAGGAAATAGATGTTATCTCAGGTCCTGGCTCCATAATATTTTAGCTGCAAGGACACAGACAGATGGGTAGAGAGGCTTAACAGTCTAAGAACCAAGTCCCAGGCAGATAGCTGGTATCCTTTTTGCTGAACACAAAGACGGTACATCAAAGGAATGTGTACACTAAGCAGAAAATGCAAAAGCAGAAAATGCAGGGGCGATTTGTTCCAAAAAAAAAATAATTGTAGCTCTCCCTAAGATAAAATTTACCTTTCTCCCTCTTATACTTAGGAAAACAGAAAAACAGACATGGTATCTGACTGACTTGTGAACTTCATGATAAAAGAGGTCAAACAAAAGCTCCTCCTAGGACAAACTGAAGTGTTAAATCAGCCCAAGTTATAAAAACACTCTCCCTGCTTCAAAGGACCCAGAAAAATCCAAGGACAGAGAACCCTGAAATGCTAATGTGGCCACAAGAGAGTAGATAGTCCTGAGCTGGCTTTGGTCTCCTTCCAAGAACCAGTGGGAAGCCCAGGGAATCCCTGAGTAGGGCTGGGAGCTATGGGTGAGATTGATCCCCTGTTCTATAAGCCTCCTGGGGACCTGCACAGAGGCTACCCAAGTGGACAGCAGGAACAAGGTGGTCTTGATTGCTATCTGGAAATAACAACTCAGTTATTGGACTTAGTCTAGACTAAGTCCAATGTAGGGAAAGAGTCTCCCTGAGACAGCCATCCTTTTCCTGATCCTAATGTTGCCAGCTCAGGGCCCACATTTGTAGAAAGTTGACCTTCAGACACAGCAAGCCCCAGATCAGCTTCCCAGGAGGTAAGTAGGTAAGTAAGTAATAGAGTAGCTGTGATCCCTTGCTTCAGGGTTAGGGTATCTGAGCCCTGAAACCTGGTATTAAGGGAAAAGGCAGAGCCCAGGACTTTGGAAGTGCAGAAGGGAGAAATCAGGGATGCTAGACCTGGGCAGGCTGGGCAACCAGGACTGAGTTTCTACCACGGTGCAGAGGAGCAGATGGGAAGAAGGCAAGGGGTAGGTTCCTCTTAAGATATCAGACTCCCAAACAACAATAAGTGCTGGAGAGGATGCGGGGGAAAAGGGCACTCTTGTTCATTGCTGGTGGGACTGCAAATTGGTGCAGCCAATTTGGAAAGCAGTATGGAGATTTCTTGGAAAGCTGGGAATGGAACCACCATTTGACCCAGCTA